ATAGGCTTCGCTAATCGCTCAGCCAATGAAGGTATTATGATTATGGGTCCCGTGCACTGAGTATTATGCGAGTTGGAGACCCCTCGGTCATTTTATATTCTTCGACGCTCTTGCACTGACAAGGGGACTTAGGCAAGTGTAAATTTCCGATCGTGCCCAAACTCGGTATATCTACTTCTTATCTATGTAGGTGACGAAAGCCGACCAATTTTTTTCCTGAGTGTCATGTGCCGAAACTCCCTATAAAAGCGTATAATTTCACAAAATACCAATTTCTACTTTTGTTCAAATATTAGGTGGTATTCTGACTCAAAATGAGCGGTTTTGGGGGGGGGGGGGTAGTTCATCTGGCACTTTTCGATTTGAGACCTCCTTCCGTCATTTTTGGCCAAAATTCAATTTTTTTCCATTATTTCCTACCCCAAAGTACCTTAGAAATTGACACTCATGATAAATTACTACCGTCAGTCGTCATCAACATAGATAAGAAACGAATATACCGAGTTTGGGCAAGATCGGGATTTTACACTTGCCTAAGCCCCCTTGTGAGTGAAGGCGGTACAGTCATTGTTCCTAAATTCGGACTTGCGCCCTAAATTCGGACATTGTGCCGTATTTCACTATTGTCGCCTTCAAATCCATCCTGCGTTGACAAAATTTAACTTCTATGTGTTTGGTGGAAAGGTAAGACCACCAAGTTTCCATTTCTGCCAAAAAAATAAATGTGTGAGTGATAATGCTACCTCCAGAAATTCCTGAAATTTGTATTTTTAACCCCCAAAAAAAGGCGTTTTTAAATGTGTCTTGAAAGAATTTGGGGCTCCGAACAGTGTAAGCCCGGGTTATTCTGACCACAACATATGTGAAACTTGGTACTTTTATCTACAATATTACACCAAGATTTTGATTTTTCGTCGCACGGTTTAGTTTTGGGAAGCGTTTTTGCAATGCGCCCTAAATTCGGACATAGGCTTTTACATGCAAAAGTGATTACTGTCCGAATTTAGGGCACGTTAAAAGCGATCTTTAAGCAGTTCTGGCGACTAAAATATACCAGATAAAAAAATTTGGACGGTAGGGTAAGGTCAAATTTGTTCATAAAGTTTCTATACCCCCCAAAAAATTTTCACTTTTCTTAATTTTTCAAAGCTGTCCGAAATTAGGACGCATTGGTTCCTAAATACGGACACGATTCAAACAGCCCTCACCCCTTTACCGTTAGCGCGAAAAAATATTTTCGGACAGTGGTAGGTGCGTCTCGACGTAAGGATTCTAGAATCCCCAGCGATTTTCCATAATTCAAAAATTCTACATGTAACAGGCGTTTTCCCTCAAAAACCGTCCGAATTTAGGGACAATGACTGTAGTGAATCTTGAAGTTGCATGCCTTCTTGCACGAAGGTCTTACGTGGCGCAGGCAGGACAAGACGCCGTGGCCCGTCCGGTGGCAGTTCCCTCAGTCCCAGGCGCGCTCCCTGGACGTGCGTCGGCGGGGAGGCTGAGGCTCAGCCCGGTGGACCGCACGATGCTCCACGGTGGGGCGCTGAGGTGTCCCGGTGGGGAGACACTGGGCGCGTGGCGGGGAGATGTTTGGACGCGGTGATGGGTCGCGGGCCTGGGTGGCGGCGGCAGCCTGCCGCGCTGCCAGCAGCAGTCGAAGGTCTCCGCGGAGCAGCTTCCCCGGGCGTAGGCAGGAAGGGGAACGCGGTGCACTATGTGCGGGGGCCTCCTCTGTCACTTCGAAGGCGAACCCACCCGGTTCTCCTGCCAGTGGGTTATGTATCCGGTCAACCTCCGTGGTAACGGTCCCGTCCGGGTTTATGGTAATGTTTGTCCACCTCGTTTCCGGCGGCACCATCGTAACGCGCACCCGAAATTTCACTGAACTGGACTGAACAGGACTGAACTGGTGACCGCGAGGATGTATGCGAGACGTGACCCACCCTGCTCACCTCGAGACACATAGGCTGGCCTCGGCACGCCGCCCCGCTGGTGCGTCGGTCAAGGGCATTGTTGGCGCTCAGGACAGCCCGCTCGCCGCGACGAGACGTCCAGGCGGGCGGGGCAAGGGGCAGGGTTGCTGGTGCGTCTACCCGCGATGCGGCGGGGTGCACTGCACGTTCGGCAGGGGCCAGGCCTGCTTAGCCTGCCGCCGGCGGCGAAGGTTGGGCCTGCGGCCCGACCATTTCTACCACGCGATTTGCTGAAGAATATGGTCGAATGACGTAGCGGGCCTTCGGCCCGCTTAGACCCGTCGTCTTTGAGTTTGCCCCGTAGACACGAGAGAGGGATGTAACGGTGAAGCACCGCGACTACAACCCACCCTTCTGCTTAGAAAACGTTTTTGAGGGTAGGGGGAGAGTTTCTTTCCTATTTTGCGGTTTTTAGGCCTTTTTCTACAACTTGTTGTTCACTATGGCAATTTTTAGCGTATTTTGCGTCAAAAAAAGACCCTCTAGCGCGTAAATGGTTAGAGATAGAGCAAAACCGAGTTACCCTTTGGGAGAACACAAAAAAAAACATTTTAGGAGAAATTTTGAACCATACCCCCATTCACACCCTTAGGGGTGGTTGCCAGGATTTGCCGCAGACGTTTCGTTCTCTAGGAGTGGACCTTAAGATACCCTGGAAATTTCAAGTCTCTAGCATATCTCCTAGTGGAACAGACAGACACACAGGCAGACAGACACGAGGTCGTTTGCATAAGCCCGCTGGATAGCAGCAGCAGTCAGCACGACGCTCAGCGTGGGTGCGCTCCGACAGCAACAGCAACTGTTGTTGACAGCAGCAGCAGCAGTCGGCACGACGCTGAGCGTGCGTGCGCTCCGACAGCAACAGCAACTGTTGTTGACAACAGCAGCAGCCAGTCAGCACGACGCTGAGCGTGGGTGCGCTCCGACAGCAACAGCAACTGTTGTTGACAACAGCAGCAGCAGCAGTAAGCACGACGCTGAGCGTGGGTGCGACGCTGAGTCTGAAGTGGAAACCAGATGAGTGGCAGTGGCAGTTTGACGTCAGACAGAGCAGTGTTGGTGGCAGTGTTTGGTGGCAAAACATGTAAAGTTCGACGAATTTGATATAATTCTTCTTGTCAAACGCTTAGTTTTGGTGATTTCTGTTGGTGTACATTGGTTGTATTGCTTGTGAGTCCCAGGCCCGAGGAGTGGACTCCCCGGCTAAGTGTACACCCCTAATTCTGCTCAATTCAAACCATTTCAATTAAATTCAGTACAAGCCAAAACAATT